GGGCCTGGTGCACTGGGAAGACCCAGAGGGATCGGGTGGAGAGGGAGGTGGGAGGGGGGATCGGGATGGGGAATACATGTGGATCCATGGCTGATTCATGTCAATGTATAGCAGGGACCCCTACAATATTGTAAAGCAATTTGCCTCCAACTAATAAAAATAAATGGGAAAAAAAAAAAGAAAAAAAATGTATTTTTAAAAAGTACCCATTATCTTCCTGGTTCTCACTACTGTCACTCATAGGTAACCACATTTATTATCCTCTTATATATCCTTCTTATTTCTTTGTTTATATACAAGCAAATTAATAGCATTTCTTAGTACTCTCCCCCATTTAAATAAATGCAGCACATTGTGCATTCCATTCTAACGCTATTTACTCTTTTCACCTAATCAATATCTCTTGGAGGTCTTTTCATATCGATTCATGGAAAGTACCTCATTTCTTTGTGTTGCTGCAGAGATCCCATTATATAAATACACTGTCTCATACTGATAGATATTGGAGTTGTTTCCCATCTTTTGCTAAAATTAATTGCTTCAATTAATAATCCTGTGCATATGTTCTCTTGAGCACACCCTGTAGAGTATATCCACCTGTACTGCAAAGTATATCCACCTGTACTTTTGCTTAAATATTGCCAGGCTGCCCTCCATAGGGATGATGCTATTTTTAAAATTCCCATTGATAACGTACATGTGAGTACCTTTCCCCACAGTCAGTGGTTGCAGTCTTCAGAGAGGAGCTAATCCTACCTCCCACAGTAGGGTATGTTAGATGAGGTACTCTACTTGCCCACCTTCAGCTCACCAGCTTAACCACTACTTAGCAATTCCTTCCTGCAGCTCCCAGAGGTTCATGACAGACTTGCAAAAGATCCCCCTCTACTATGCATTGACAAGAAGGAGCAAAAAGCCATCCATACTCAGAAAGGGAGGCTGACAGCATCCCAGTTCTATTTTTCTTGAGCCCAGATATGAGTCAACATCACATAGCTCTTACCTCCAAACTCTGCAAGGAAGTCCAAGCCTTTTCTAGACTTTTATGAGATCCAGCACTTTATCAATCACAAAGATACCTTCTCTGAGTATTCCCACCTGCTTCTAACCTGCTATGGTAGAGACAGATACCATCACTCCTACTGAGATTGTGGTGCCTTGCCAGTATGCCCTCTTGACTTTTGTCACATAACTACAGCTATAGTCTTTTAATCAATGTTCAATGCACCAAGGGCTGTGTATATAAAACCTCAGTGAGGACGTATAAGCATAGGGAGCAGGACAGGAAGAGAGACTATAGTCTTATTTCACAAACATTAAAATTAATTAAAAAACTTAAGTTTAAAAAAAAAAATACTGTTTCCAAGCTGTAGCCTTGGAAATCTAACGTTTCTGATGAGCTATCAATCTAATATGCAATATGAAATGCAGGACTCAGCCAGGATACATTATCTCCAACATATCTAACTTGAAGTTCACCATCTTCAATGTCCAAAACTCCTGAGATTCTTGTGTGCTTAACTTTAAAATGCCTGCTTTTAATTTCTCATTCCCTTCTCTACAAAGAAGCAATGCTATTGTGTTAAGTGGTAGGCTTTACTTCTGAAATAAACAAAAGAATAAAAGCAATAACTGGCTGGATTGCAAGCTTAAATACATACCTGAGTCACTGAATTAGCTTTATGCTACTTTGGAATAGAAAATTAACTCTCAGGACTCACAGTGCAGACTGACTTTTGTGGGAAGTGAAGATGAGTTGAAGGAATGGTAAAGGCAGTTAATGACTCCCTATGACCATATCAAGGGTGTTTGGCACCTGCTTTCAGTGGCTGCAGCTTTACAGTAGTCAGGGAGGACACAGAAGGAGAAACTATGCAGAATGGCAGCAAGGCCGGCGTAGGTGTCACTAGGATCAGTACACTGACCAGCTCCATCCAGGCCGCTGGTGCACACAGCTGCATCTGTATGCTCCAGAAAGCAGTTTTCCTGAAGAAGTGACTGTGTTCTTGCCTGGTCGTGCACCTCCCTCCTTCTCTCCACCAGCAGCACTACTGATGCATCTAGAGATAAAGCTGGAATAGCAATTCTCCAAAAAATTGTCATGCCACATATCAGTTGTGGGGAGGGATGGGAAAGAGGGCCAGGAATCTGGCCGACTTTAAACTCTCAAAATTTCATAAATCTTTTACATATTCAGTCTAGTTCAAATCTGGGTTATGTCTACTAACGTCACTAGAGCTTTAAGAAACACTTAGTATTTTTCATTAGCCATATCTGCAAACTGGTCCTCACAGAGGAATTAAGCCTAATTGACTCAGCCTGGCCTCTTTTGTTCTGTTATGTTTGGGGGTCACACACATATATCTTTAAAGAAAACAAGACAGCTGCATTGATTCAAACCCACTAAGGAGATAAAGAGCCCACTCTCCACCTTTGCTTTCTTGTCTGCCAGTGTTAATATTCTTTACAGGATCTTTTCTCTTTTTTTTTTTCCCTCCTATACACTTGTACACCAGGTGAGTTGATCCCAGGAAGAATCATTCCCCCAACTTCCTGGGATCCTCTCAGAAGGGGCATAACAGTAGGTAAATGACACTTTAGGTATTTGCATTGTCAGTATTTTCAGAACTATCCACATCTTGCATTTCATTGAACAGACTCACAGTTAAGGAGAAAGAATGTTGGACTTACAAGTCCCAAGACTCAGTCCTTGTTCTAGCTCTGTGGTAGTGACCATGATCCAACCTAGAGTAATAAAACGACTTCCCTTCCTTGAGTCAGGAATGGACCCTCAGAAGCACTGTCTTTACAGACAGGCAGACTTGTGCAATGGAATGAATTTGGTTCTCAGGGTTTAGACAGACCACACACTCAAAATCAGGTCCCATTATACCCACTGTGCAAGCCTAGGCAAAGGGCTTCCATCCTCTGAGCCCACTCTGCTCGTCTGTGAAGTCAGAGGAGCAGTGCCTGCTCTGTGGGGTGATGAGCATTAATGTGCTCATGTGAGTGCACAGATGGAGCTTCCACCTCCGTCCGATGAATAGCACAGCTCTGACACAGGACCTGCACTGTTCCAACCATGGCACGGTAACCCGGAAACGAGGGTGGTAACTCCTGAGCTCACAGTCTCTCACCTGCTGGTGCTACTGTTGTTCAGTCACTAGGTCACAGCTGACTCTTTGCAACCCACCGACAGCAGCACACCGGGCTCTTCTGTCCTTCACTGTCTCCAGGAGTTTCTCATTCTCTGCTGCCCCTTCTCCTCCTGCCCTCAATCCTTCCCAGCATCAGGGTCTTTGCCAACCATGACAGGTAACCTGAAAATTAGAGTGGGAACTCTCGAGCTCACAGTTTCTCCCACCTGCTGGTGCTCCCACCCTGATAAAAAATCTCTGTCCATTCGAATTTGAACTCTTCATAGTATCTGCTCTTACATAGCAGAGCAGTAAGAACACATACATTTCATATTTATTATCAAATTAAAAAGAAAGTTTCTAAACCCAAGTTCTAACTCAGCAGGAATGCATACTGTGGTTGATTAGTGATGTCTGTCCTGGGCAAGCATAGAGTGACCTAATGCTACACTCTACCTGTCCCTGAATAATGGGTGATTTCCTCAAATTTGTCACATGTGTGAGTAATCCTGGCAACTTTAGTTCCAGCAGAAGACCTGGCATGAAAAACACATCCTATGTGTCTACTGATGGAAGGAACCATCTTGACTTTGCTGAGTTCAGTTTTACTAACATTCCAGCAAGTGCCTGGCCTGGATATGATATGCCAATGGTGGGTATGATATGCTCAGGGCTAACTGAAGACTGAAAATCAAGGAAGAATTCCCTAGTGGGAGGTGTAAAATGACAGGAGTGAGGGAAAAATTATTTACGGGTGGAAGCTATCTAAGATCAAATGAAGGATAAGGGTGGAGAAGGGAAAATGAAATCAAGGTTCAAACTAAGGTCTGGTCTACAGAGGCAGATGGGCATAGGTTTGAGAGTAAGGGCTGGGCAGGTATAAGGACTGGTTCCCAATCAGACAACACCAAGAACTCTTCAGTTCAGTGTTGTGGAACAGAGCCAAGTGTCCTTGCTGTGCAGTGGGAGCCTCCCATGTGCCCTCCTGCCTCAGCGCCCATCAGAGTGCAGAGGAATCTCCTGGTTATGCATCAGCCTCTCCATCTGAGCTGCAAGCCCTTCAGGACTCCCTTTTTCGTGTCTGTGTCCTCACACCCATCAAGGAGTAGCCCATGCAGGTGCTCAAGGGAAATTCTATGGTTACTCAGGATGGGGTTTGGCCATCTGAATGATGTAAGTAAAGATATCTGGATGCTGGCAGATTCATTCAATTCCAGCTCCTGCTGGGACTCTGGGCCAGGCTAAGGAGATATTGGCCCATCTTTCTCCTACCAGACTGAGGGAATGGAGCAGCATATCCTGCAGGCACATGGGAATCACGATAATATGAATAGTTCCCACAAAGAGCACCTACCAGGCACCAGGAGATTTTGTATAGTTAGAGTACCTGCTGAGTTTGGGCCGGGGCAAGGAATCAAAGCATGCAGTAGTCTGTCCATTGCATGCTATTCCCCTCATTCAGGCTGTTGTCCTAATCTTGGACCCTTCTTGCCTGGCATCCTTGTTCTGGACTTATTGGGTTAGAGCAACAGGACTATGGTAGCGTGGAGTGATCAGAGTTCAAACCCTAGCTTGACTTTCAACAAGTTGTGGAGGTTTAATTGTGTTGAAGCTTCTTTTGTCTTGATTTCTTCATCTGTAAACTGTAGATATTAACATCACACAGCTCATTGTTGAGACTAAGAGAAAAAAACATCTACTGAAATACCTGGGACACAGTAGGTTCTTAATACACAGTGGCTATTTTTAATGCCATCATAATGCTACCTGCATACCACCAAGCAGATCATTAAATTCTTGTAAGCCTTGGTTTGCTTACCTATGAAAGAGATCACTAGACTCCTCCCCCCCCCACACACAATATCATATGCTTCTTAAGAATAACTGTTAATAAGTAAAAATAATCCAGCATCCAACCCTTCAGGTGAGATATAGTGGCCTTCCCACAGCCATCTGGGTTACCTCACACAGACTTTGTACCCATCTGAACTGATAAAGAAATTAAGACATAAAGGAGCAGAAGACTTTTCTGTGTTATATAGTGATGCTGAAAGAGTCATAAATTTAGGACTGAAAGACATTTTAGAGGTCAACCATTTTATGCATCTCTATGGATAATACACCTGGCAAATAATAAGTGCTAAACCGAGATTTATAGATTAGTTGGTGACAAGATTTGTAATAGCCATTAAATTGCAAATATCTTTTAATTTTTTTACAATTGGACATTTTAAAACCAAAGGCTCTAGAGCAAGACTTCCATTATGACTATATTTTATAAACAATAAGAAAACAGTAAAATTTTCCATGTGACATGAAGGAATGGGATGTCAAGAAACTAGATCCTCACCCCTCAAACCAATTAATCCTCCAACAACCCTGTGAGGCAGGAATCATCATTTCTGATTTTCAGATGAAGTCACCAAGTGTCTTTGCCTAAAATGATACATGCAGTAGATCACAAATCAGGCCCCCCTGTTATCTGACTCTCACCATTACACTGCAATGTTAGATCCCCAAGGAGACGAGGGCTTTCTTACAAACCTGCTGGGGGCTTATGACATCAATTTCATGTTTGTCATTGACAACCTCTGTTGCCCATACAAAGAGGTGAGCTGCTGTTACACGGGGAGTTCACCCAGCCCCAAACAGCCTGATTTTTTATTAAACTGACACAAAGAAATATTGTTGATACTTCCAGTAAATGTAATTTCTGCACTTCCTTTCTTCCCTTCCTCCCTAAAGGTAAGAATAGAGTGCCTTGGTTTTGTGTCCTGCCTTGGTACGTTGTTGGAAGCCACCACTTTCAGAGCTCTGCTGGGTTTAGGGCAGATTCTCTCGCCTCTTCCTTGAGTGACTTGAGGAGATGGGGTAAAGGCTGGATGTCACCATGAGAGAGCTGAGTTCTGGAAAACACTGCGGTGAATTATTGAGAAAGTCTTTCTGGTCTTTGTCACTTAATGTATCAAGAGTGAGACAATGGTCTGGGCAGTGTGACTTTGGATGTCCGTCCGCCTGAGGCAAAAGCTAGACCAGACGACCTTTCAAGGTTTTTGCTAGTTCCGATACCCTAGCCTTGGGATCATGTCCCTTTTCCTGTTTATTAAAGTAAGCCTGTGTTTTCTGTTCACATAGGTAGAGACTTCAAAGGACAAAGGCTGTTTCTGTCACAGGAGAGAGAACACGGAGGGGCTGCTTAAAGAAATAAAATTGTAAAATGAAGCCTTGGAACCTTTCATAGAGTAAGTTAATGGTGACCGCCCCATATAATAGTCCTCTTTCTCTGAATCCCCTCCTCCTGGGGTGGGATGGTGGATTCCTTCTGGCCGATGTTTACGAGACTTAACTAGTTTTGAATTAGGTTGGAGCCCTCACAAACAATCCCCTCTTTAGTAAAAATGACATTCCTTGAAATAAGTAATTGGGCCCAGAGATTTAATAGACTTGTTAGATAGCAAATGTGGCAGTGCCTTCACCCAGGACAGTGGTGGGGAACCCTGAGAGTCAGTGATGAGTTTATCTGCTTTCCTCTGGAATGTTTGACCTGGGATAGCTCCTTTCAGCCCCTGCCTATTTTCTTTGGCCAGGATGTTCAATGGATGGCAGCTTAGGTGAGACATCAACAGCTTTTTTAGGCAGAGAAGCCGACTCCTGAGTAGAGGTTAGCTCTTTTCAGCCAGTTTGGAATTTTGATTTGGGATACTGGGTTGTTGGTGGCAAATGACTTCTTCCCCTTCATGCTCCTGTCTGACTTTGCTATTAAAATAGTCATTACGGCATCCATGTCTGTGACCAAGTTCCAGCCAGGCTAATGTGCACAGCAGAGAGAAATAGTTTTCAAATAGATGGACTGCATGTCTTATCTCAAGACTAGCTTTAAAGGGCTTACTGTTTTATTTTTTAAAAATTTCACTGTAGCTCATGCATATGGAATTCAAGACTAAAGAAATTCATGTGTAGAAATGCGAACAGACATTGATTAATCAAGGTAGCACCTTTTAGGTAAATGTATAAATAAGTTTGGACATTGAAATTTAAACTGAAAAAAAAAAAAAGGTGATGGTCCCAATGTTCATGGTGTTCATAGGAGCACTATTTACAATAGCCAAGACATGCAAACAAAACATAAATGTTCATTGACAAACAAATGGATAAAGAAGATGTGGTCTTTATGCACAAAGGAATACTACTCAATCATAAAAAAGGATGACATAGTGTCATCTACAGCAACTTGCGTGTACCTAAAGATTATCATATTTTACGAAGGAAGTCAAAGACGTAGCATACAATATCACCTATAAGTAGAATCTAAAAAACTGAGGCAAATGAACTTATTTACAAAACAGAAATTGATTCAAAAGCATAGAAAAGAAACTTGTGGATAGCAGGGGAGGAGATAAATTAGGAGTTTGAGATCAATTTATATATACTAATGTATATAATCTCTTCTGTGGCTCAGATGGTAAAGAATCTGCCTGAAATGCAGGATACCCAGGTTCAATCCCTGGATCAAGAAGATCTCCTAGAGAAGGGAATGGCAACCCACTCCAGAATTTTTACCTGGAAAATTCCATGGACAGAGGAGCCTGGGGGGCTACAGTTCATGGGATCACAAAGAGTCCCACACGACTGAGCAACTAACACTTCCACACCCTTTCAGTGCATGTAAAATAGGTAAAAAACAAGGACCTACCGTATAGCACATGGAACCATACTCAATATCTTGTAATACCTATAATAGTAAAGAATCTGAAAAAGAATATACATAAAACTGAATCACTTTGCTTTATACTTGAAACTGACAAAACATTGTAAATTAGCTATATTTCAATTTAAAAATTTAAAGATGGCATTTATCTTCTGTTTCATAGACAGGGTGTCCATTGATTTTAGGAATAATTTCTAGCTTTGGAGAAGGAAATGGCAACCCATTCCAGTACTCTTGCCTGGAAAATCCCATGGACAGAGGAGCCTGATAGGCTACAGTCCATGGGGTCACAAAGAGTCAGACACGACTGAGTGGCTTCACTTTCTTTCTTTCTTTCCCTCCTTTTGTTAGGAGTGACTCTAGATTTGTGATTATTTTGAGAAAGGAAAAAGAAAGTCCCTATCTGTATGTCCCTTCTGAGTAAGTTACTGGTGAAATATTGCCACTCAGTGCCTCTTCCCTCTGGCTTCTGGTGAGGCTCAGCCAATGAGCCATCATCAGGGAATCTAAGAGGAATGAGGGGATGAGAGAGAGGAGGCATTTGTTGCCGGCTCCCTCCCTGCCACATATCAGCAGGAATGTGTTCCTCTCTCGCATCCACAGCTCCCAGTGCGGGAACCCCCTTCTGTGATAACCAGAAAGGTGTGTTGTTGATAATGCACAGATGCCCTCCAGCCTCAGATCATTCCCATAATCCTCCTACACCCAGAAAGAAGCTCTTTAATAAGCTCTCAGCTATATCCTGAAGGATGACTTCTATGTCTTGCCAAGACTCTTTTTTGCTAGGAAATAAAACAGAAAAGGAGAGAAGGGTTATTGACTATAGATGAAACAAGATTTTCTTTTTGCTGATAAGTTGAAGCAAAACTCATAATAAGATCTTATTTTTGAATTCATTTGAAAATTTTCATATTAAAATGTAAATTAAAGATTATGTTCTGTAATGGGGCCTCACCCTGTTGTAACTTCAATGCCCTGTTAGGCAGTCAAACATCCCAAAGAGTACAGAGGGCATCTTGGGATACAGTTTTAAGGCTTCATTAGAAAGTTCTTGCAGGCAATTTGGCAATAGCAAACACACAATCAGGCAACTTATGTTGCTTGTAAATGAAACAATTTGCTCCTGGAAGTTTCCAATATTTTCTTCAAAATCAAAACACAATTTTGGAGAAATCTGAAGATGATCTATAGACTATTGCTTTCATTCAAAACCAAATCACTCATTTGGTTCTATCTTGTCAAAAAATGAGAAGGAATTTGAATACAGAGACCTCTGTCTTCCTCTGTATTCAACCAAGAAGTCTGTCACATTCACACTATTTCTTCCTTCCTTTGCCTTGAAGCAGTTTAACAACTCACACACAGAAGGTATAGCCAGCACCAATGTCTAAAGATGCTGCACCACCAAGACAGGGAGGGGAGTAGTGGCACAGATGACATGAGGGTTGCTGCTTTTGTGTAAATGCAATGCATCCCTTTATACAGAAGCACAACAGAGAGCCTTTGAACATCTGAAATGTGGTTTCCTTGGTTGGCAAATGGCTTTGATAAAGAGTGAACACAGGATTTAATGTGGAAAATGGCAAAGAGCCCAATGATTCTCTTGCTTCCAGAATAGGGCCGTACCTATGGCTGGGATGGCTCATATATCTTCGATTCATCACCCAACCCTGATGGCCACAGTGGTGTCAAGTGCCATGGTTCCTGCCCTGCAAACTGGAGAGGCGCTTCTCACCCCTGGATAGCTGTGACTTTAAACAAGGGGTTCCTAATACTTAAAAATGAAAAGCAATTAAGGAAAGAAGCAGAGCAGTTACCGATTTATTGCAGCTTTGAGTGATTCCAAAGCCCTGCAGAGGGCAGGAGGCTCCAGACTGGTCTTGAGAGGCTGCTGGATCTTTCTGCTCTCTGCCCTCCCCCAGCCCTGCCCCTGCAAAGAACACCCTCTACATCTCTCATCTCTCATCATTTCCACTTTTACTTCTCTTCTTTCTCTTTTTCTTTCCCCTTAATTATCTTTCTTATCTTTCCTCTTTCCATTTCTCCTCCCCCCCTTTTATAATTAAAAAATAGCATGCGTGCTTATTTAAAAAAATCAAATTACACTGACATAGAGAATATAAAGGGAACACAGACTTTCACTCCTGCCCCCAGGCTCCCTTTCCTTTCCTGTCTACAAGTGCAAGTCCTTCACAAACAAGAACACATGTGGATGCTCCTGCTCTGTGAACTCTTCAGAATAATAAATCAAACTATAATTTTAAAAATAAAAGTTTTCTCCTTTGTCTCTCAGGAGAGCAGCAAACAATGCCAAGACCAACGGACATTCAGGGCTGCAGACCAAGTGAGACTTGGAGGGGCCTCACATCTCCCTGCTCATATGAGAGGGGGCCTGAGGCAGGCTCAGTCCCTCTGCTGTGTGTGGTCTCACCTGTCCCAAGGGACAGGCATTGTCTAGGCTTTCCCTCTGGGCGTAGCCCTGCTGTATTAGCTAGGGTAACATGAGATGCTGTAGGTAAATTATAAAATCCCAGCAGCTCACCACAGTAGAGGTTTGGTTTTTGCTCATGTAAAACATACTTGGTGAGAGGTGGGGTGGAGCATGTGAATATTCATCAAGTTATTTAGAGACTTAGGTTGACAGAGGTTCTGCTGTCTTGATCCTATGGCTTCTGAGGTCACTCTCTATGCGCCCACCCCCCACCCCACCATGGAACAGACAACAAAGAGAGGATGAGAATGGAGGGAGAGATTTCTACGGGCTGGAGTGCAAAGTGACGACACACTTCCCTCCCATCTGAGTCCACTGACCAGAACTCAATGCTGTGGCCACACCTCACATCTAGGATCTCTGGGAAATGTGGCCAGCTGTGTGTATGCCTAGCAGGGTGGGGAGCGTGGATTGGGTGTGGTCACCTGCCTCCATACCACTGTCTACCTGCTTCCATTCTAACTCAAAGCCAGAATTCACCCAGAGAGGTGTGTGCCTCTTCCTGAGGCTGATGATTATAAACAATTTGAGACAGGAAGGAAGGGGACAGGGGGTAATTGTTAAAAGTATGACACAACTGTTGAGACCAGGTTATAACAAAAACCAGTTAGAACCGACCAGGCCCAAAATGGCAGTAGATTGGATTTCCAGTGGACCTTGAGCCTCAGTATCAATCTTTGCATTACATTAATTAATGACACACCCACAAGCTAAATGACAGTTTCAGGGCCAAGACATCAGTGCTGTCCCAATTCTTAAGCTTTTCCACCCTCTCCAAGATAGGTGGAATAATCCTCCCATTCTTTAACTAGGAACTAATCACCTCCATATCCTGGGGCCTCTCTTGCCTTTTGAGACAGTCCATACTCTGAGTGTGTATCTCTAAAAAACCTGCTTTCATTTTATTATGACTCACTCTTGAATTCTTTCCTGCTCACAGCTAAGAACCCTCACTTGGTCATCCCAGGAACTCCCCTGAGACCTGGAACATACCATCATCTCATGCCCCATTTTTCCTGTAGAAAAATCTGCTTCTCTCATGC